GGGGGACCAGGAGAGATAGGGAGAGAGAAAGGGAGAGAGGGAGGGGCAGGCAGAGGGAGGGAAAGGGAAAGGGAGAGGGAGGGAGGGAGAGAGAAAGGGAGAGAGAGGGACAGGCAGAGGAAGGGAAAGGGAGAGAGAGAGAGAGGGAGGGAGGAAGAGGGAAAGGGAAGGGGAAAGATTGTGGTGGATACTGAATCTCAAAACTCTTGAATTTGCCAGAGCTAAAAAATAATCAATACTGCAGTTACAACGGCACTGAAAAGAATAGTTTACGACCAATTTCAACACTTACAACCACTGCAGCGTCCCCACGGTCAGGTAATCAAAACTCAGATGCCTGGCAACTGACTCCTAGTTGTGACGGTTTGCAGTGTCCCCGGGGTCACGTGATCTCCTTTTGCGACCTTCTGATGAGCGAAGTCAATGGGGAAGCCGGATTCACTTAACAAGCACGTTACAAACTTAACGACTGCAAAATGGGGCAAAAGGCTCAGTTAAAAACGTTTCACTTAGCAACAGGAAATGGTGGTCGTAAGCTGAGGACTACCTGTATAACGCGTGAGCTGAGATTTTGCACCAGCAATCCCAACACGGAATGTAACCAAGAACTGACTGAATCTAAAACTGAAGTTTGTTTGGCTAGAGAGCTATTTCTCGAATCATCTTGATATTCAGAGATTTTTTACTGAGGGGATTCCTGACTAGCAAGGAATGTTGGGAATACCAACATGGGGACCCTAACTAACTGAAGTGGTAATAAATACAGGTAGTCCTCGACTTACAACGGTTCATTTAGTGACTGTACAAAGTTACGACACTGAAAAAAGTGACTTAACCACCATTTTTCACACCTATGATCATTGCAGCATCCCTATGGGATCAAAATTCAGGCCCTTGGGCAACCGATTCATATTTATGACGGTTGCAGTGTCCTGGAAAGACCTCGTGATCCCCTTTTGCAACCTTCTGACAAGCAAATCAAATCACTTAACAACCGTGATCCTAGTTTAACAACTGCAGCGATTCATTTAACAAAACGGTGGCACAAAAGATCATAAAAAGGGGGCAAAGCTCACGGAAGAACTGTCTTTCTTAGCGACATAAATTCTGGGCTAAGTTGTGGCCGTAAGTGGAGGACTCCCTATCCGTGGGGGCTGGGATAGAAAAAGTTTATTTTTTAAAAAGATGTTTTAAAAATGAAAAAGATGGGAAAGTATGCATGCATGCTACTGTGATCCTCATCTTGTTTGCTGAAAAAAAAATATGAATTCCCGTCCTCTTAAAATAAAATGGTAGATATGTGGTCCTCCTTTAACATTTTTGCAATATTTATTAGTCGTCTAGTTCTGCAAGCTCGAAAAACACTGATCAACGGTTTAAACTGAAGTTTGTGTGTTCTCGGTCTTGAAATAATAGGAAACACCATAGCTAATTTTCACCAATCGCATCACTGAAATTCAACTGCATAATTAATTGCTAGTCTCAAGGTGGCGTACAGTAGATGGCAAAAGGTAGTATAGAACATGGAATTGGAACTGGAATTGGAAGGGAAGGGAAGAGAAAAGTAGAAGAGAAGAGAAAATAGAACAGAATAGAATGGAATGGAATATAAACTTTATTGTCGCTTTAAATGTATACTAATCAGCATACATTAAAATTAAATTTATGGCATTCAGCTCTCAAAAGATAACCATTATGCATATCCACACCTACCCACATATATTTTGACAGAGAAACAACAGTTTAGCTCGGATGCATACATGTACATGGCGAGAGAAATAAATCTTGCAAGTTTACCAGACGGATGGCCTAGGGAACAAAGCTGTTACAGAACCTGGCAGTCCAGCTAGAAATACTTCGAAACCTCCTCCCACAGAGGGGAGCAACAGAAACGAAGACCCTGCAGTGGGTGGGTGTGGGTCTTTCACAATGCTTCGAGTTTTAAGCACAGAGCTTGAATAACGGGAAGCGAGCTTCCTATAATCTTCTCCATTGTCCTCACCACTCTCTGTAGGGACTTTCTATCCGAGGCACTGCTTTCCCCAAGCCAAACAGGGAGGCAGCTTGTTAAAGAATGTAAATCCAATACAATACTCACTCAGACATTCCAATTTTTAATTCCCGAAGAGATATCATCATTATACACTCTTGTATGAGAGTAGATTTTCCCAACATAAGCAACATTAAGCTGTGTGAACTGCAACCATGCTAGCTAGGGAATTCTGGGAGTTGCATTCCACATAGCTTAAAATTGATGAAGTTAAGAAAAACTGACCAAGACTGGGAATATAGCAGGAGATAGAGAGCAGGACTCTACATTTGACACAAACCACAAAGATAAAAGGTTGAATAGAAAGTAGAGGTGTCCTCGACTTAACAGTTGAGCCAAACAATTATGTTGCTAAGTGAGGATTTGTTAAAGTGAGTTTTGCCCCATTTGAGCCACAGTTGTTAAGTGAATCACCGCAGTTGTTAAATTAGTAACATGGTTGTTAAATGAATCTGGCTTCCCCGTTGATGTTGCTTGTCAAAAGGTCGCAAAAGGGGATCACATGACCCCAGAACACTGCAGCCGTCATAAAGATGAGTCACTTGCCAAGCACTTGAATTTTGAACATGTGACCATGTGGGGATGCTGCAATAATAGCCGTAAGTGTGAAAAATGGTCCTAAATCACATTTTTCAATGGTGTTGTAACTTTGAATGGTCACTAAATGAACCGTTGAAAGTCGAAGGCTACCTGTAGCACTTGTAACTCCATAGATTCCTAACCAGATTTAGCTGTTGATCTGTTGGCTCTTAACTCTGCCTAGAATCTGGGTAGTCTTGAATTCTTCCTGCAGTGTTTTAATATTAGTTTACTCTACTCAAATGTGCCTTCCAATGAAAGCATTGAGATGAACTTGGCTAATCCGAGAAAACTAGATTAGATCGGATCATTTAATCCTGGGAGACACCAGGAGATCCTGGGGGCATAGCCAAGTCTCAAAGACATGTTGGAGTTGTTGTTTTTCCCCCCACCATATCCTTGGCTTTCGCATTCAGAAAGGATGGCAGTGTGTAGTTGCAATCCTGCAAAATGTTTTTCCTTGCTTGCTTGCCAGATGTGATTAATTGGGGCCACAACGTAGTCTTTGGTCTCTTTGTAAGGCTGCCCACCGTGTAGGGTTGGGGGAACAGAATCACTGTTGGAGGGAGGGGTGGAAAAGAGCTTTGCTAACGGGGGAAGAAGTGGAGCCAAGGGAAGAAGGACAGCTGCCATCTTGTGGTTACAACCCTCTGCTTGACACCTGCAGTTGCATAATCAACCCTGGAAAAGAGTTGTTTTTCAAAAGGAAACAAAATGGAAAAACAAAAAAAAGGGGGATATAAAATTGTGGAAGCTGCTTTTTTGCAAGAAGGAACCCAGGAAAGACTCCTCAAAAGGAGAGAACTATAATTCCTTCCTTCCTCCCCTTCCACCCTTTCTTTCTTTCTTTCTTTCTTTCTTTCTTTCTTTCTTTCTTTCTTTCTTTCTTTCTCTCTCTCTTT